AGGCTGACAAGTCACGTGAAAGCCGCGGACCAATGGGAAAGCAGCACCGTTGTCACACACATGACGCGAGCCAATGAGATCACAGGAAACACTTGGAGCCTGGACGACGGGGGCACTGGATGCTGCGGGCCCTTGCAACTGTCTGAAGGGCCCAGGGCGCAGACACTTTGGCCCAACGCAAAGCTACTGGGCCCCAACCCAGCAGGCCAAGCAGAGGCTGAAGCAGGGCGCACTTTCCATGAAGGAAAGTGCCTGCCCCAGCTTGAGGCATTCTGGCCTGGGCAGGCAATTCGGTCACAGTGCTGCTTTGCTGTGCGGGAGCTGCGCTAGCAGGCAGGCTGGACGAGCACACGGGCGCAAGAGGTGAGAGGGGGCGCTGCGGTGGCAGCGGACGCACGGCGGCCATAGCCGGGCTGCACGTATGGTGGCCGGTGATGGCGATGGTGGTATTCGGGTAGGAGGTGCATGCAGAGGGGAGACGGGGTGATGAGGAGAGGAATGAGACACATACCTGGTGTATGCTGGCAGTCTGCATTGGCAATTGACATCACGTACGTTGGTCTTCAACTTCAATGTGTTCCTGTTGCAAGAACGTAGATAGGCTAGGTAGGCTGGGCGCTGGGCGCCAGACAGTAGGAGCGACATTGGATACTATGTTGTTGTGGCCAGAGAACGTCGGCATTGGCATTTGAGTTCATTGTATTTGCTCTTATTTGGATGGTATCTTGGTGCATTGTGCTCTCTGCTTGCTACATGGCTACCTGGGCGACTTCGCGCTTTTGCAATTTGGACTTCTGTCTGTCCCTCTTGCTCGTATTCCTTGCAGTAGCATAGTTTTCTTGCTTTATTTATGTTTGAAACTTAGAGTTTCTATTGTCCAGTTTTATATTTGTGGTGAAGTTGCCGATAAGGGGACGCTGAACCTGTTTTCCAGCACACGCCAAATCTGGGTAATGGCCCCAGCACTCTTCGGGTTGAGATGTTGAGGAATTCCCGGCCTCATTGTTTGAACAAATAATAAAACAGCAGCTTTCTGGTAAAAAAAAAATAAAAAAAAATGAAAAAAAGATGAGTAGCAAAAGTTCTGCAAAACTGTCCGACAGAAAGGTTCAACCCCCTGTAAGCTTAGCGCTTCTATTCTTGAAAGGACCCTGCACGGGCCTGCAGTGCCTGCACTGCTCCCCCCCCTGTGGTCTTTAAGTTTGTACTGATCCCTGGTTCTGGCAAATATTTGAGAATACACTCTGAATACTGCCTTTTTTAAAAGGTTTTTTTTTTTTTTTTTTTTTTTTTTTGTGGTGTTTAGAAGTGGATCCGAACCACTACCTTGTATAAGTTAGAACTTAGAATGTCCTACTCTATAGGCGACCCGATGTTGCTTCTCCCCTGTAGTCTACGTACTGGCACGGAGCCCCTGTAGTCTGCACGTGACCCCTGTTTCAGTTGAGGCTGTTAGGTGGTGCCTTCTCTGTAAGCTTCACCCTCCTATGGTGCAGAGGGCCTTACATTGATCGCTTTCCCCTCAACCACATAGAAGGCGATAGCAAGATGCCGCCCAAGAGTCCTAAGCTCCGAAGCAGCAGCATTCCTGGAGTATGTTGCCTGACAACATTTGCAGTCCTGTCAGCAGATGGTCATAAATATTAAATACCAATCAGAGTTACTGATGCATCCTTCCAGCAGGTTATAATTCAGAGTTCATACCAATTGTTCAAAGCACAAACTATTTGAATGAAAACTGTAATTTTTTCAGAGTTTTGCAGCTGTTCCGTGTATCTGCTGAGATCTCTGACGTCTGCGTCTGTTCCTGGTTTTTTGCCGGTGCTGTTATCTCTGTGCTTTGTGCTTGTCTGAGTACTGAGTGTGTGTGTGACTGGGTCTGATTGCCTGAGTTATTGGTTTGGCCCTCTTAAGGCCTGGTAAAACTCCCAGATGCCGCACTTGTGGTCTGTGCAGTAGGTACTGGCCGGGGGTAGGTAGGCCGAAGTAGCCATGAGTAGGCAGTACCGGGTAGGTAGGCACAAGAAGACAAAATACGAGTTTGGGAAGGCCGAGGAATTTCCTGAATCCTGGTAGGCCTAGGGGAAGAATCAGCAAGGTGGCCCTATACCGTCCGGAAAGGACTCTAGGTCCAGGTCCTGTAGGTTGGGTAGCAGTCCGCAGGACTTTTCCCGCCAAAACGGTCAGGAGCCGGTTCTACTAGAGCCTAGAGGCTGGGTAGGCTGGAAATCGACAGAGGAAAGAGCCTGGCACCCAAGTTATTAGGAGGAGCCGTGAGTTTCTGCTCTTTCTTCAGCTGGACGTAGACTGGCTGATGGACCGGGAGCTTGGCTGAAGCAGCGCCAAGCAGAAGCTAGGAAGAGGAAGAAGTAGGTGGGAGGAAGAAGGAGGAAGAAGAAGGTGAAGGAGGAGAGTGAAGGGGGGACATACCTTGGCTATGGTGGACCTACATCTTCATCATCTTAGTTGGCGCCGCACCTGGAAGGCCCCAAGGGGTTGAAGTGTACTGGTGGTTCATCCATGAGTGTGGGCATGGCGGTGGAGGGGGGAAGGCATGAGAGCATTTGCACTGTCCTCTGAACGAACATCTGAGGTCACCTTGGCTTCTCTGCCATCGCCCGTAGTCATCCGACAGTTAGAGAGAGGTGTAGGGGAGCCAAGAGAGCTCCCATGGACATGTCGGCTGTTAGGGGATACTTCTTCTACATTCATTGTTGTTGTTATTCATTATTAATAAGATGATCGTGGAGGTGATGAGGGAGAAATGATGGAGGTGAGATGAGGGAGAGGAGATTTATCATCTTACTCTTCCTCCATAATTCTCCATTCTTCCTCTTCCCTTGTTTTATATTCTCTTCCCGATCTCTTGCATTTGAGTTCCGAGTAAGTGCCATTGTCTCTCTGCAGACTTTTGCATTGAAAACTGGCTGGAATCATAACAAAAGTTACAAAACTGTTTTCTTACGTTGACAACTTGACACACCTATTGAATCGAAACTTGAAAGAAGTGTACTAGGCTTTACTATCGCAGTGAATACATCTTCCGTCACGTGAGATCGGAAATGCGACAGCATCACCCTTCTGCCAATCACAGCTCAACTGATGGCTCATAATTATGGGCATTGCATGCAAATAGCTCTGCAGGATTATT